TTATATTTTTTGAGTAAAGTAGCCAGAACAACAGGCGCATACTACCAAGCCCGGCTAATTTTTTGGATTTATTTTAGAGATGAGGTCTCGCCAAGTTGCCCAGGTGGGTCTTGAACCCTTGGACTCAGGCAATCCACTTGCCTTGGCCTCCCAAAGGGCTAGGATTACAGGCTGAGCCACCAAGCCAGGCTAAATTCTCTTTTTAATAGCCTCAGTGAGCTGCTAAAATCAGAAGGACCACAGAGCCTATAATTCTAGAGCAGAGAGACTCGTCAGAAGTGAGCTGACAATTGCAGCAGTGTCTCCCTAGGGCACTTACTGCTTCTGGGTTTGAGCAAGAGGCTGAGAATCCAAGCATTGCCCAGACAGAGGGCGACAGCTGAGGAGCAGGGAAGCTGGTTGAGTTGAGTGGCCTCATAACACTGGAGGGACAAAGGTGGGGACTTGCGAACCTTTAAGACATAATAAAATGTTCTCCTTGAGATGTTTACCACATTCTAAAGCCATGTAGAATCAGAAGCTATTAAAAAAAAAAATCTAAGCCTCAAACCTCTGAAAAGCAGAGTAGACTTTTTGGCTGATCGTGTGGATGATTCGAATTCTCAGGAAGGCTCCTTACGACAGGATGAAACAGGTAGCCTGACACGTGTCAAAATTGCAATCCAGCTAGCCGGGCTCGGTGGCTCAGCCTGTAATCCCGCGTCTTTGAGAGGCTTAGGTGAGTGGATTGCCTGAGCCCACGGGTTCGAGACCCACCTGGGCAACTTGGCAAGACCTCATCTCTACAATAAATAAAAAAAAAATTAACCGGGCATGGTGGCGCACGCCTGTAATTCCAGTTACTTGGAAGGGTGAGGCGGAAGGATCGCCAGAGCCCAGCAGGTCGAGGCTGCGGTGGCCGGGAGCAGCCACTGCACTCCAGTCTGGGCGACAGAGTGAGACTCCAACTCAAAAAAAAAAAGAAAATTGCAGTCCAGCCTCAAACCATGGAGTCCCTGACTGAATTGAACCGATCAGCTCCCAAGTTATCTGTCCAGCAAGGAAACGGTGAAAGAAAAAACATTATATGTTTCCCTACATAATTTCTTGACCTAATAAAAAGCACTAGCCTGTCAAAAACTATTAGAGTCATATTACATAAAACCAGATTTTGGCCAGGCTCAGTGGCTCAGCCTGTAATCCCAGCACTTTGGGAGGCCAAGGCGAGGGGACTGCCTGAGCCCGCGGGTTGGAGACCAGCCCGGGCAACTTGGTGAGACCTTGTCTCTACATAAATAAAAAATTAGCCGGGCAGTGTGCTCCTGTAGTTCCGGCTACTTGGAAGGCTGAGGTGAAAGGATTGCCGGAGCCCAGCAGGTTGATGCTGGGGTGGTTGTGAGTGTGCCACTGCACTCCAGCCTGGGCGACAGAGTGAGACTCCAGCTCAAAAAAAAAAGAGAAATTTTTGGGGGTATTTTATCTGATTTTTCTAGTTCCTGACTAGAACATCCTACTAAATATGGAAATCTCTAAGCACCTTTATTTATTTAATTAGATACAGGGACTCACACTGTCACCCAGGCTGGAGTGCAGTGGCATGATCATAACTCGCTGCAGCCTTGAAATCCTGGGCTCAAGTTAACCTCCTGCCTCAGCCTCTCAAGTAGCTGAGACTACAGACCGGTGCCACCACACCCAGCTATTTTTTTGGAGAGACGAAGTCTTGCCATGTTACCCAGCCTGGTCTTGAACTCCTGGGCTCAAACAATCCTCCCTCCGCAGCCTCCCAAAGTGCTGGGATTACAGGCATGAGCCACTTCGCCCGGTCTCTAAGCACCTTTAAGATGCTTCTTTTCTTTGACTGAACTTTGAAAGCTGACTGTCCCTAGGGGTTAATTTACATACCTTAAAAACATATTTCTGCTACCAAGTGAATAAAAGAGAAAACTATTTCTTCTATACTCACACCACTTCACTTCTGACACCAAATGGTGTGGGATTTTTTTCCTACACTGACCAATTCTTCAACACCAGCTGGGTGTCCTACGATCAATTTTGACATTGTCTACCTGGCGCTAGCATCAGGGCCCACGGGTTAAACAGGGCTCTGTCCCACAAGGCTGCTGCCACTGCAGATCCAATTGTAAGTTTGACCAACTAGATATGTATCAGGGATTCCCATGACTCTCTCCTTGGGTTCAAAAGACTGTCACTGAACTCAGGAAAATAGTTTACTTATTAGATAACTGGTTTGATATAAAATGAAACAACTCTGGAATGGCCAGAGGGAAGAGGTGCACTGGGCAAAGTAGGGAGAAGGGGCAGGGAATGTCCATGCAATCCCAGTCCTGCCACCCTCTCAGTGCTGTGCCAGGGTGTGGTCACCAACCTTTCTTTTTTTGAGTGTCTCACTCTGTTGCCCAGGCTGGAGTGCAGTGGCACAATCACAGTTCACTGCAGCCTTGACCTCCTAGGCTCAAGAGATGCTCCTGCCTCAGCCTCCTGGTTAGCTGGGATTACAGGCACATGCCATCACGCCTGGCTAATTTTGTTTTTGTATTTTTTGTAGTCATGAGGTCTCACTATGTTGCCCAGACTGGTCTCAAGCTCGTGGTCTCTCTCAAGTGATCCTCCTGCCTTGGCCTCCAAAATGCTGGGATTACAGGCATGAGCCATGGCACCAGGCCTGTGGAGGTCTTGTTACATATGGCCACTTGTTGGTGATTAACTCAATCTCCAGTTCCTTCTGCTCCCCAGAGGTCAGGGGCAGGGCTGAAAGTTCCAGCCCTTTGAATACATGGTTGGTTCCCCTGGCAACCAGCCCATATCCTCAGGCAATCCAGGAGCCCCCAGTCACCAGTCATCTGTTAGAACTAATCACTTTGGAGAGTCCAAGGCTTTTAGGAGCCAGATGCCAAGAATAGAGCAAAGACCAAATATATACATATTTTTGTTATGACACAATGAGAAAAAAGCAAAGTATTTTATGGCCTATTGCCAATAATCACAAGTGAGTATAAAACGCATACACACGTTGCCAAGGATTTTAAATGAGCGATGGGAGTAGGATTATGGCAATTTTTTCTTGCAAAAATGATTCCGAGCTGGGTGCAGTGGCTCATACCTGTAATCCTAGCATTTTGGGAGGTGGAGACGAGAGGATTGCCTGAGCGCAGGGGTTCAAGACCAGCCTGGGCAACTTGGCAAGACCTCTTCTCTACAATAAATCAAAAAATTTGCTGGGTGTAGTAACATGCACCTGTGGTTCTGGCTACTTGGAAGGCTGGGGTGGAAGGATCGCTGGAGCCCAGCAGGTTGACGCTGGGGTGGCCGTGAGCATGCCACCGCACACCAGCGTGGGCAATGGAGTGAGACTCCAACTCAAAAAAAAAAAAAAAAGTTTCTGAAGTGTTATTACTTTGTCTATTAGAAGTATGTACATAGGATCTGGGGCAGTGGATCATGCCTGTAATCTCACCACTTTGGGAGGCCAAAGAATCGCTTGAGTCCACAAGTTGGAGACCAGCTTAGGCAAACATAGCAAGACCTCTTTTTTACAAAAAAAAAAAAAAAAAATCTCAAAAATTAGCCAGGTCTTTTGGCATGTGCCTGGAGTCCCAGATACTCAGGGGCTGAGGTGGGAGGATCGCTTGAACCCAGAAGGCTGAGGCTGCAGTGAGCTGTGATTGTGCCAGTGCACTCTAGTCTGGGCTACTGACTGAGACCCTCTAAGAAGAAAAGAAAGAAAAGACATAGTATAATAAATGCAGATGGTAGCTTTGTTAGAACGTCAGAGCCTTTATTCTAGTGAGATGATTCAAGGCTGGGACCTTAGACATTCGACTGCTGTACCTTGCCTTAATGTGTGTTCAGATCGTGACATCTGCTCCCTATACTTCAACTCTTTCCACAGAATTTGTTCCAGGCTCCAAAAGCAGCAGTTGGCAAACTATGGCCCAGGGGCCAAATCCAGCCTGGTTTTGTGGCCCATGAACTAAGGATCATTTTTTATATTTTTACATGTTGGCAAAGAATCAAAAGGATGTTTGGTGACACCTGCAAATCCTATGAAACTTCAATTTCCATGTCTGTAGACACAGTCGAGTACATCTACACATATCATTTACGAGTTAGCTACAGCCGCCTGCATGCTTCTCTGTCACGGTTGCGTAGTTGCCCCTTCAGAATCTAAAATGCTACATCCGGCCCTTCACAGAAAAGGTTCCCAACCCCTATGCCGAAAAGTCTGCGAGGAACACGTTCCACAGAGTAGCTCTAGGGTGAGGGACTGATTGGATCCATGTCCCAGTCTTCACCTTCCAGGCATCCTTACCTTTGGCCCAGACACTTTGTCGTGCTTTCCTGCTTTGTCAGCTGGGCCCAGTCACATGGCTTGCTGTGACTAATGGTGTTTAAGAACTATACCACAAGCAGAGGCTTAGCTGGGAGCGCCTCTGGGGCTCCCTTGCTCTGTCACTATCATGTGAACAGTTCCGGGTTAGTTGGCTGGAGGCTGAGTCAAGTGAACCAGGCTCTAGTCATTTCAGCTGAGGTCATCCTAGGTGAGCCGACAGCCAAAGGATCCCGAGATCATCACAGCTGACCAGCCACAAGAGCAAGCCCAGTAGAAACACCTGGCCCAGCCCAGATCAGCTGAGCCCTGAGATACAAAGGCCAAGTTGTGGATTCCTGTTGTAGGTCCCTGAAGTGTGGTGGTGGTTTGTTACACATTATTTTGCCAGTAGGAAACTGTTACCTTGGGCCTAAGTTTCACAAATTTCTTTTGCCAAAACGTGTTTACTCTTCTGCGGGTAGTTTAGGCCTCTGACACGGAGAGTCTAAAGGGAACAGAGATGTCTGGAATTCAAATTACATCTTGAATGTCTGCAAAAAACCCTTGTCCTCATAATGGGGCTCAATAAATATCTGTATGGGCCACTGGGCCAAGCAGAAGCTGAAGCTAGAACTTGGCATGCCTCTTACCCGTGAAGACATCTAGCCAGCCAGACAGACTCCACCACTTATGGCAAAAAAAATTTCATTTATTTCCTATTTATAAAATGTGAAAAAGTGCTGTGGGTATAAAATCTAGTTGTCTGAAATGGGCTTGGTCAGGAGCACATAACTGACATACTGTTCTTCAAGTCTTCCAGTCACTGGCGGAAGGGAAGGGCTGGGGGTCCTTCTGTCCCAGGGTATGCAAACAGCTTCACAGGGGTAGGAGCCACCAAACCCTCTGAGGGAAAGAGAAGTCCCAGCCAATGACGGGCACGGAGCAGGACAGGCAGGAAAGGGGCAGGCCTGAGGCGGGAGCGAGGGGGCAGTGTGTGCTGGGGTCTGCTGCGACACTGGTTTGCAAGGGAAGATCTTCCTTCTAGAATGCTGGACATACCCAGCCGAGCCCCCCTAGGGAAGTCCAGCTGCTTCCTGGTACACAGGGCCGACCCTGCTTGCAGAGCCACAAACACGGCTTCCATGGCATCCGTGGGCGCGACGGGAGGTGGTCACCTGCGGACTTGCATGAACTCCTTGCGCAGCCACAAAGAGTCCTGGTAGAAGCGAGGGTCGCCCAGTCTCACGGCGGTCCGTTTGTAGAAGTAACAGTAAAGCACTGCTGCTGTGGGGGACAAGCAAGGAAGGTGTCAGGGCCGCTCCCAAGCACTCATGCCAGGCTTGGGACAGACTCTGATGAGGCCGAGGGGCCTTGCCTTGTGATTTCCCATGGTCCCTCAGAAAGGGCAGAGGGCAGTTGTCTCTGCTGTTCCTGGCGTGGCTGTCCCAACCATCCTAGGCCAGCTGTGACAGGGAGCCTGGATCAAGGCCCTCCCTGCCAGAGACGGCTGTGGGAGCCCAGTGAGGCCTGCCACTGTGCTGGGCCTTACCTAGTCTCTGGAATACAAACAGTGTCTGGAGTCCATCTGTCCACACGAAGCTGTTGGAGTCTTTCCAGCGCAAGTTCTGAGGAAGATATGAGGAGACAGAGAAGAGTCAATGGCACATGAGGCCCTCATGTCGCCAACCTGGTCAGCTACAGAGATGCTGCTCGCTTTATCTATTTTTATTTTTATTTTCTTTGAGTCTGAGGTCTCACTCTGACACCCAGCCTGGAGTGCAGTGGCACACAGGGCCGACCCTGCACTGCAGCCTCGACCTGCTGGGCTCAGGCGATCCTTCCGCCTCAGCCATCCAAGTAGCTGAAAGTACAGGCGTGTGCCACCACACCCAGCTAATTTTTTTTTTGAGTTGGAATCTCACTCTGTTGCCCAGACTGGAGTGCAGTGACCGCTCCCGGTCACCGCAGCCTCGACCTGCTGGGCTCCAGCGATCCTTCTGCCTCAGCCTTCCGGGTAGCCGGGATTACAGGCATGTGCTACCACGCCCGGCTGATTTTTTGATTTATTGTAGAGATGAGGTCTCGCTGCCCAGGCGGGTCTCGAACCGCAGGCTCAGGCAATCCACTCACCTCAGCCTCTCAAAGGCGCGGGATCACAGGCTGAGCCACCGAGCCCGGCTTCAGCTAATTTTTTATCATTTATTGTAGAGACGAGGTCTTGCCAAGTTGCACAGGCTGGTCTCAAAACCCTAGGCTTAGGTATTCCTCTCACCTCAGCCTCCCAAAGTACCGGGATTACAGGCGTGAGCTACCATGCCTGGCTGCCACTTGCTTTAAAACTGTGCTCACCTGACCCTCCCCTCCACCTTCCTTTCACCACCCAAGGAGTGTTTCCTGAAGGGGCCTCAGGCTCCCTTTCCTGCAGCAAAGGGAATATCCTTTGAACCCTGGCGAGGAAGTAAGTCATTTATCCCCTTCGCCCCACAGCCTTTGCCAAGGAGAAACACTACACATGATCACAGGAGCTCAGCTGGGCACTGTCTCGCCTTGAAAACTGCCAGCTCAGCTCCTGTCAGATAAAGGGGTCGGTGCACTCAGGGTTTAAGGAGATTAATGACTTAGAGCACGAAGTCACACCTCTTTGGGCAACAGGAACCACAGCTCAGAATCCTCCTCATGAAGCACCTAGAGACCCCAGCCCTGCTCGGCTTCCTTCCTGGGAGCAACACTCCTCTCTGTGGAATCACAGGGGTCACCCAACTTCACTGAGAAGGTGGCTTTAGTAAGAAGTGACTAGAGAAGCCTGAGGTGTTAAGTGTCCCATCAAAATGAGTCCGCGGAAACACGAGACACCCAAAGAGACAAAGACTCGGAAGTTGAAGACATCTGCCACCGTGCCAACTGGATCAGACCTGAGGCCCATCTTAGAACCAAAGGGAGACCTTCTGGAGGCTGGTTCTCCTCGTTTAAGTGGTAAGACTTGGCAGAGGGCGTGAGGCACTCTTGGCAGAGGGCGTGAGGTATATGTGGCACTCTTGCTTGGTCACTCCCCAAAACATCCATTGCCTATGGCATTGGCCATGGGACACTGATGCCCAAGACAGCTGGTGCCAATACCCACCCGGCCAAATAGCTAATGTCGAGACGTATTCAACTGCCCACTTTAGCCCTGGTAGGCCTGTCTGGGGCAAAGGTAAACCAGAGGTTCCCGAAGAGTTCCCTCGGCCCTCGGACAAGGCTGGTCTTCCACACTAAAGACTGGGCACAAGTGGCCAGCACCACTTGCGCTTCATCCGTTTCCTACTAAGGTTGTGTGAGGTGTTGAAGAATGAAGCTGGGTCCCAGGGAAAAGGTATTCCTAGTCCTTCAAGGATTCAAGAGTTTAGGCCCAATGCGGTGGCTCATGCTTCTAACCCCAGCACTTTGGGAGGCTGAGGTAGGAGGCCTGCTTGAGGCCCGGAGTTCAAAATCAGCCTAGACAACACAGTGAGATCCCCGTTTTCTACAAGAAATCAAAAAATTAGCTGGGTATGGTAGTGTGCACCTATAGTCCCAGCTACTCAGGAGGCTGAGGTAGAAGGATCTGAGCCCAGGAGGTCGAAGCTGCGGTGAGCCATGATTGTGCTACTGCACTCCAGCCTGGGCAACAGAGTGAGACCCTGATTCAAAAAAAAAAAGAAGTAGAGTTCAGAGTTCTGCTCTTACCATGATCCAGACATGAAGGGAGATGCTGAAGGCAAGGTACACGGCTGTCAGGATGATGGTCCCTTTGAACTTACGGAACAGGAGGCTGACCAGGCCAGCCTGGAAGACGAAGGTGTTGAAGAACATGAGGAAGATGATGATGATGTTGAAGAGGACTGCAATATCCTGGATGCTGCAGACACAGAAAACAAAGGACAGCCCAATGCAGGCCTGCATGGGACCCAAGAGCCGGCCCTGTGTCCTGAGCGACACCCGGAAGTCAGTCCTTCCCTGTGACACAGTCATCCAGAACCCACACAGAGACAGCATAGGTTTGGGACCCAGATGACATGAAGTAAAACTGTCCACTGGTCCCATCAGCTGAGTCACAGTCCACAGACAAGGCTTTCCTGCTGGGACACTTTTAACTCAGTCACGACAGTGGGCACTTCTGAGAAGCTGGCTGCCTTCCTACGTCCATGCCAGCCCTGCCCATCATCACATCGCTGGCTGGTCCTACCAGACAGCGTCTTCTGGCCAGATAACAATATACTTCCCTGATGCACGTGGCTATGCCTTTGTGCCATTCAAGTCTCAACTCAAGTGTAACCTCTCAAGACTCTCCTTTAACCGCACTGCCCTCCCCCCGGCAACTGCACCACGGCCACTGCATGACATCCCTGTGTGAAGCGAGCCCCGTTTAATGGTCTTGCTCCCCTACAGTGGAGACCCCATGAGACCAGGGGCTGTTAGCTTTATCAATGCAACCAGAACGCTGTCTGGCAGGTCAATGAATACTTGTGGAATAAAGGAAGGCCATGTCCAAGATGGGGGTTTTCAGCTTAGAAAGTGCCTCAAGGAGTCTATAAATCATTGGGAAGGATAAATGCCAAGTTTCCATCCTATGGGATTCATATATATTATTAATATGATTGCCCAGGCCAGGTGTGGTAAGCCTGTAATCCCAGCACTTTTGGAGGCTGAGGCGGGAGAATCACTTGAGTCCCAGAGTTCGAGATCAGCCTGGGCAACATAGGGAAATCTTGTCTCTACAAAAACATTAAAAAATTAGCCAAGCATGGTGGTGTACGCGTATAGTCCCAGCTAACTGGGAGGCTGAGGCAGGAGGACTGCTTGAACCCAAGAGGTTGAGGTTGGTGAGCCATGATTGTGCCACTGCAATCCAGGCTGAGCAACAGAGTGGGACCCTGACTAAAAAAAAAAAATCTTAAAAGAAAAATATGATCCTCTTTTTAACCTGCCATTTTGTAATCCTCTTTCACAACGAAGACAGTATTTCTACTCACAGATGGAGAATATGACAGGACCAGCATCTGATTCTCACTTCACATGTGAACTGCTGCCTTCATCCTCCACCCTTATGAAGTTTGCAAAAACAGGACCTGTGACCCTATCTGTGCACCGTGGAGAGCCTGGGACAATGTTACATTTTACTCTTCCCTGATCTCTCTATCTAGGAAGTACTTTTTAGTTGTGCGTGGGTTCAGCATTCCAGAGCCACCCGCTGAACTCACATGAAGAGCACCAGCTGGATGACAGGGGCCATTCGGAGCAGCTCCGAGAAGGAATTGACGAAGAGGTCATAGGACAGCAGCAGGAACTGCAGGGCCAGCACCAGGCTGTAGTTGTTGGTCTGTAGCATTTGGCTTCTCCTTTCTTGGGCCCCACGGGCACATTCCACAGTTCCCCAGAAAACAGCTCCCGATCTCCCCCCCACCACAGAGGGAGAGACTTCTTGTTCCTCTGAATCAGAGCTGCTTCCCTTGCTCTAAAGTGAGGGCCTGCTGGAGCAAAAAGTGAGGCAAGGTTAGAAACGGATTAATACAAAAAACATGTATGGAGGACTACTGGGTGCCAGGCACAATTCCAGGCGCTTGGGATAGTTCAGCGAACAAAACCAACAAACTAAAAAACCCACAAATCATTTATTCTAGGGCTCGTCACCCTCAAACCTGTCTCTGGAACTGTCTAAATGCAGACCTCTTACCAACCAAAGGCATCTGGCGGTATTACAGAGAAGTGTGGACACATAGTAGTAGTAATACTAATAATAGCATCACTTAGCATGTGCCAGGAACTGTTCTAAGCACTAAGAATAGTAAAAATAATGGTAATAGCAGCAACCCCCTATATACCATTTACAATGTGCCAGGAACTATTTTAAGCATTAAGATGATTTAAACTTGGCCAGGCTCGGTGGCTCAGCCTGTAATCCCAGCACTGTGAGAGGCTGAGGTGAGTGAATTGCCTGAGCCGCGGGTTCGAGACCCACCCGGGCAACTTGGCGAGACCTTGTCTCTACAATAAATCAAAAATTAGCCGGGCATGGTAGTGTGTGCCTATTGTTCCGGCTACTTGGAAGGCTGAGGTGGAGGGATCGCTGGAGCCCAGCAGGTCGAGGCTGGGATGGCCGGGAGCATGCTACTGCACTCCAGTCTGGGCGACAGAGTGAGATTCCAACTCAAAAAAAAAAAGATTATTTAAACTTCACAATAACCTCATGAGGTAGAAGATACATTATTTTCTCCATTTTACAAATGAGGAAACTGAGGCCCAGGGAGGTAAAATAATTTCTCCAGGGTCACATAGCTAGTGAGTGGTAGAGATGGGATTCAGATCCAGGCAGTCTGGGTCCAGTCTGTGCTCTTAACCACTGCATTAAGCTGCCTCTTACATAACTCAAGAGCTGAACAGCAACGGTGGGAAAAATGTCGGCACAGAAGTGGCAAGAGCTGTCGGTAGAAAAAGCAGAGGAAATCGTGCCCTCCTGTAAAACTCTGTTTAAGGTTATGGCAGCAGCACTGTGTCACCAGGTAAGTGGAGCTGGGCCTTCATTTTCATATATTCCAAGTCCCTCAAGCTGCTCTGGGGGTGTCCTGTGACCCTGTAGCTGGATCAAATCTATACACAAATTTCAAAATGCTCTGGAATGTTAGAGAGTGACTAGATTAACATCTGTAAAATGTTTTGTTATTTGCGAGCTCTTTTCATATTTATAACCTTACTTCATCCCACAACCATCTTGAGAAGCAGCCATGATAATGCACAAAATCCCCATTTTACAGAGGCTGAGAGGTTATGGCACCTCCTCCCCCTCACCTGATGGAAAAGTCCCACCTTACTGGATGTCTGAACCGGTTTTTTCGGACCCAGTTTCTCCATTCACTAAAGAACACCGACAGTTATCCATCCCTTAGGCAGGTCCCAGCACCATGACAACCTTGTCAACCAGGATCATCTCATTTAACCCTCGCAACAACGAGGCAAGGTGGGACCTGCCCCCCATCTACAGGCAAGGACGCAGGGGTCAGAGTCGAAGTCACGCCTCCAAGTCGCAAGCGAGCAGAGCCAGGATTCATAACGAGGTGTGACGCCAAATCCGTGCTCTTTTTTTTTTGGCAATTCACTCGCCTCGGCTTCCCAAAGCGCTGGGATTACAGGCTGAGCCGCCAAGCCCGGCCAAATCCGTGCTCTTAATTAACCACGACTTCACAGGCCACACTGGGGGCTGCTGCGAGGATCTGTCACCCAGAAACGCCCATCGCTCCCTCCGATCGTCTCCCCGCTCAGGGCAGAGGAGATTCGCAAGCGAAGGAGGCGCTCTTCCCCCTGGGTCCACCGCTACCTGCCGCCTTCCCTTTGTCCCCGGAGCAGCACTCCTTACGCTTCCCAACCCACTCGGAAATGGGATTCACCTGGCGAAAGCAACCAAAAAAACACCCGAACGCAAAACAATAGCAACAAAACCCTGACGCCTGGTCACTTTACCCACTCCTTATCAACAACCCTCTCACCTCCAGGACCCAACGTCGGTTGTCATGGGGACATCATCCTGGCTTCCGGAAAACGACTTTAAGTTCCGGAAATGGATGGCGGCCGCGGGCTCCGGCGATGCAGGGTTTCCCGCTCCCCTCTGGCCAGCCCGGCCACCATGTTTGAAGCTGGAGCGGGCCCGTCCCGCTCCCGACCCTCCCAGCGCCGCCGACCGCTCAGGCCTCCCGCCCACGCCGCGCGAGGCCTTGTCGAGGGCCGGCCGCTGGCGGGAGGCTTCGCGTCCACCCGAGCATTTCCGCTTCCTCGGGATGGGGGCGGGGTGGCGGACAGGGCACTTGCATCTCAGCACTGCTGGGTCCGGAACCCGGACCTGGGGAGGAACCGTCCGCGGGGGAACCGGAGTTGCGGGGACCAGCACGCTGGGAAGCAGGCGTCCCCGGGGCTCCGGACTTCATTTCCCAGGAGGCCTTGCGCGCGACCGAAAGTGCCTGGAGCCTATAAAGGCGCGAGGCGGCGCTGGCCACCCCATTTTAGGGCGGTG